CTCGTGGTGGGCACCAACTGAGCCTCTGTCGCCCCCGGAAAACAGTGCATTTTATAGAACAGATAAAAAATTGTGGATTATAATATCTGGTGACTTGTCTGATTGGGAGTACAATGAGATTTGACCAAATACAGAGCTGAGGTAAAATTGCAAACATTGCATTTGGCGCCGTAAAGATGGCGCCGTGGCAAGAGCTCTGGTGTGTGTCGTCTGGTGCACACTGGGGTAGTCTTGCACAGTTTTTCCTATGTGGTTTTACTGCAAATGGCAAATAAATGAATCTGAATCTTGAGATTTCAATTCAATTGTGATTTTTCTTGAAGCCCAATTAGGTGATGGAAAAATATCTAAAATGTTACAAATAATTATCATACACTTTTATCAACGTGGCATATTTATTCACAAAGATCCAAGCCCAGTTTTGCTGCACAACAGAGAACAAGTTTAGAAGCCAGGGAAAATATATTTGTGGATGCATTTGGGGCATGTGAGCAGCAGCTCTGAGAAGTCACTGAGCAGCCGCCACATCGATTCAACGTCCTGTGGGGATGTTGTGCACAAACGGTGACTGCATCCAACGTGGAACAAAACTAAGGACACTTCAGATAATGGATCAGTGCAAGCTTCACAGTTTTGCTCAAATATAATATAATAGTTTCAATTTCAGAACAAAATCGTTTTATTTATAGAACTATGCCAAAAAAATTCCACCCGCTCTTTTTGAGAAGCCTGAGATTTTTGCCTTTGGTGACTTGTGCTGACAGCTTGGGGGATTACTTGAAAAATATGAATCTGAAGCCGACGAAACCATCTTCGGAAAATTACTGTACGTGTTTATCATAATTTACATGTGTTTATGACTTAATTTGCATCATAAATAAAATGAGTCACAATGTGGCATTATGGACACCTGTCAAGAGGCTAAATACTTTTCCTTTTGACCTCCTGGACAGACAGTGATTTATTATTTTAATACTATTATCTGTCCACCCATTTTAGCACACACAGAAGTGTAAGAGTCAAGTCTAGATTGAATAAGAGCTAATCTGTGCTTGGATGTGGGTGTGACAGTGGTCATTGAGAGTGTCTCTGTTTGGCCATCTCAAACTGAATGTATTTGACTGGAAACAATAAGCTTTAGTATTTTGACAAAAGCATTTAACCAGCCGCAGGTAAGCCAGGCAGACAAGGGGAGAACATGCAAACTAAACCCACAAAGGCCCTGGAATTGAACCCAGGGCCTTCTTGTTCTGAAGCACAAGCTGTGTTACAGTGCTACTGTGCTACTGTATCGCCCAGATGGTTTGATTTACAGTAATGGATGAATGCAGACCTTATTGTATCAAGCATGTACGAAAGAAAGAGTTACTTGGCTTTGTTATGAATTTAAGTTACAAACCCTCAGAAAGTGCATGGCTTTAGGAGACAAAGTCACAGCACAGTCAGAGTACTGCTTTCACTGGTTACATTACAGTTAACAATGTATGAAATAGTGTACAGCAATCTTATTTAGTGGCAAAATGTTAGTTTTTTATGTTATTTCATGTCAAAATTACAAGGTGCAGCTACAAATCCGGACACACGGTTTCACTGACACAGCATAAGTGAAACAAACAGACTTTCAAAGTGTTCACATATTTTATACCAAGGCAGTTCCTCTAAGCATCTCCCATAGATGAGTTTGCATTGACTCTCCAATATACAAAACATCGAGTGGAAAAGTACTGACTTTTGCACACTGCTGTAATAACCAGGTCAGTTTTCACATGAGAGCTCAAAAAGTCTCATCAAAGATCCACACAAGTTACCAGAGGTGTGGACTCGAGTCATGTGACTTGGACTCGAGTCAGACTCGAGTCATGATTTTGATGACTTTAGACTCGACTTGACCAAATATAAAAAGACTTGCAACTCGACTTGGACTTTAACATCAATGACTCTGACTTTCACTTGGACTTGCGCCAATTGACTTGTAAAGACTTGCGTAACCCGGGCCATTTTTACCTTTCTCCGCATCTCTCTTTCTATCTATGCCGTCTCTGAAGAAACAAAGCCTCGCGGTAGTTGTAGCGCTCGCGCGAGAGTTCGAACGTGAGTTCCCCGCAGTTCGCGCAGTAACACTTCCCTAAACAAGCGGACTGCATTCACCGGTGGGAGTGTTGTCTAGGGGAGCTGGAAATGAGCGAGCTGCAGGTATTTATCGCGACCTAACGTCATATTTTGTTCTACAAACCGTAATTGATATGCTTTCACTACAGGCGCCTCATACAATTGAATCGACGCAGTTGTCACACTGTGTGCCGTGTTTTAAAGAGGAACTGGTGAGTCAAACTAGCGCTAGCCTGCGCTGCTCTGTTGGCTCTTTCTTATATTTTTCTGTGTGGGCGCCGAGGCCTATTATTATGAGTATGTTTTTGCTGTGCTCCTCCTGCTAAAGTTTGCATATATTAGATAGTTGTTTTGATTATGTGCACTAAGCTAGATTAATATTTGCACTATTGTTTATGGTGCATTGATATGAGAATCAGTGCTTTGACTGATTGAATTAATTTATATGAGACATTTTATTATGTAATGATATATTGGTAATTATTAGTGGGCAAAGCTCCCACTGAAAGATCAAGGCTATGCTCACACTCAGAGCAGCCGTCCTCCTGTGGACTCACCACCTGCAGAGGGTCGGTGAGGGGCTGGTGCTATGAGACTTGGGTGGCATCTCTGATTGCCACCCCCCTGACCCAGAAATGGATTAAAGGGTAGAAGATGGATAGATGGATATTGGTAATTATGAGATATTGCTAATGCTGGTCCAGTTGATGGCGAGCTGCCCCAGGTCCAAAGCCTAGACCCCTCATACTACCCCTATTCTACAGTAGGACATTTGGAACAATAACCACTACGGACATTAAACTGTCATATATAGATACAGGTCCTAGCCCAATACTCATATTCATATATGCTGCACTTGCTACTTCCCATTAAAAACCCCAAAGATAAAAAGTATGTTGACACGGACTGCTCTGATTTTATGTGTGGTCTGTGCATGTGTAACTGAGCCTGCATCTGGCACAACATCCAATTAGATCACGTAGATAGTTTTGATTTATCAGCAGCCAACGACATGGAACAAACTGTTAGTCCATGGGTCAGAGACCAACGAGAATGCACCAGCAAAATGATTCCTAACATTATTTTGTTTGCCTACAAAAGTACGTGGAGACCAACAAGAAACAAATCGCGGTCAAAAAGACTCGAGAGGACTCGAAAGTCAAACCGTAGGACTTGGGACTGACTTGAGATTTGTTGGCCTTTGACTTGGACTCGACTCGGGACTTGCCTGTCTTGACTCGTGACTTGACTCGGGACTTGAGGGCAATGAATTGAGACTGACTTGTGACTTGCTAAACAATGACTTTGTCCCACCTCTGCAAGTTACCCAGGTTTCACTTGTGCTTTGTTAACCTATTCTCTGATGGTTTCTTGGGCTTAATGACAAAGAAGCAACAACATCTGATGGGCACCTCCCACATTCATACAGATTCATACAGATCCAGAATCTGTTTTATCCTCTCCTAGGCTTGAACAACAAAATAAGTAAAAAGCAAAAACTTCATTGTGATCCAATTCCATCCAGTTCATAATTTCACCCTGAGGCCACCAAAGGACCTCTGGATTAAAAGGATTTACTCATTCAAATAAAATATTTTGATACTCAATACAAAGTGGACAGTACAAAACAAAAATAGACGCATCTTCTACCACCCCCAGGTCACATACTGTACAGATACAGGCCTCTTCAGTAACAGCTTTGAAGCCCCCCACCTCCACTGCCAGAAGCAAAGTGCCGGTCGTCAGCTGGGCAAGCACAGAGACTTCTGGGTACATTTGACTGTTTGTGCAGTTCTGTGCAAAACTCCTGTTCACATTGATTACAATTTCTTAACTTAGGTTTTCTGCAAACATCAAGTTTCCATTGTGCTTTAAACAGTCATTTCTTTAACAGCATGGAGTGAATCAATAAATTCAAAACCATCTCCCAGCCGCACACAGGAGCCCACACCTGTTCAGGATACATTAGCATTGTTCCCTGTGATCTGTACAAATGTGTCCGCCACAGCTGCTCAGTGTTGAGACCGGTGCGACTGTTCTGCTAACGTGATGCTGCTGTTTCATTTTTATGTAAGAGCCAGCTCCAGAAAAAGGAAAAAGAAACATGTGGGAGTCGGGTTGAGATGAGATGTCAACGCGCCAACAGCAATCTCACGCAACACTGTACATTTAACCGCTGCAATTCACGTCCTTAAACCTGGTCTTTACAACGAAACAAATTAAATCAGTCATTATGTGTTCTCTTTCCCAGCTAGTATTTTGCATAACATCTCCAGCAGCAGTGTTGGATTCACGTTTAACTCATAAAGGTCCTTCGGGCGATTCCAAACAGCTTTTTAGACACAACCGCCAATCCACTTATCCACCCACCTATTTCTGACTGCTGCTGAGCCCGACTGCACCATGGAAACACTCATTAATGTGTCCCTGTTGATATATGAAGTGTTTAAAATCTCACATCGAAAAAAAAAAGGCACTGGATGTCAACAATAGAGCTGAAGCTATAGGCTCTGCCACTTCAGAATATATGTGTACGGCTGACGTAAACAGTCGCACGCCAACCACACTCAGCGGGCAAAATTAATCTCTTGGTTCAACAGCCATAAATGGAAAAGAAAACTAATTGTAAAATCCCTTGCAGAAAATTAAGAAGTTAGGTCAATGATGCTTGTAATTCTAAATGCAGCCCAACCATAGCAAGAGTAGAAAGAAAGAGCAGGCTGAGCTGGTTTGTGAATAAAAGTGCATGGGCAACTTTTCTGGCAGAGAGAAACTACTTGCGTATCTCCAAAGAGAACTCTATCTGTCACCATAGAGACAAGCAGGCCATGAAGGCAATTTAGAGAGGACATAACATGCTAAATCCACTTTTCACAGCTTTTCACAGCTTTTCACAGCTTTCCACCATGGTGTAGTTGTTTTCCCTTGTCTTTCACAAACTCGATATTGTTTATCCTCTTCTTCCCTTTGGCTGCACTGACCAAATTCACTGAGACACGCCCACTATTCTTTTTTGCTTTGTTTGCAGATTGTGTGTGTGTGTGTGTGTGTGTGTGATCAGAACAGATGATTTCCCAATGTTCAGCAGATATTTTTTTGGCCACAGAAAAAATATCCGCGGATTACTTACTTAATGACCAAGGTCTTTGATACTGTATGACCACCTTTCTGCTGACGTGGCAAAAAGAGACAGAGCACAAATGAATCTGATAGAACTGATGAAAGAGTGCATACTTGTTTCTTTTATAAATAAATATTTGAAATACTTACTAATTGTTGTACTTTAAAAATATATAATTATGGGCTGAGATTATTACTATATAACAGAGAAAAGCATGTAATGTCTTCTTTCAGGTTAGTTCTTGAAAGGTAAGTTTGTTGAATAGACCATCCAAGTTTTGATTCTGTTTGGAACTGGACGAAAACCGCGGTGATGAAGGAGAAGCGATCTACAGATTTTTTGCTTGTCACATCTTCAAAAAGCAAAATCCCCTTCAAATGGAATCAACTGTGAATTCATAATAAAAGGACACACTTTTTGGTCTTCACTGGACCCTGTTGAGATCACTTGGGGCAAAATGCTTTAAAAAATCAAAATCAAAATCAAGTGCCCATGCGTCTACTAGTCGCTTCAGTTTACGTCTTTTGAAACAGATCTGTCAACGATTATTGCTGGGTCCAGTGAACCAATGTGCTGTAAGTAAATGTTTTATTGAGTCTTCCTCATGGAGATATTTCAGAACTAATTTCTCCATTTGCTGCTAAGTGTTAATTATATGGTATCCTCCACATTGTGACTTGAGACTGTTGCTATGTTGGTAACTTGTTATTGAGCTGTATTTTAATATTCATGCTGGTATCTTACACTTTTTATTGAACTGTATGTTAGTATTCAAGTTATATGAAAGTATTGTCAAGGACTACAGATGGAAAGTGGCATGGGGCGAAATCTGGCCATCTTTTTAGTGTAACTGCACATTGTCTATAATAAATTAAACATAAGCTCAAACCAGAGAAGTTACACAGTGCACCGTTAAAACCTGCCCTTTATAATCCGTGGTTCCTGTGGTCACTCACCCGCTGAGAACCACGATGAAGTCCATGACGTTCCAGCCGTTCCTCAGATAAGATCCTTTATGAAAGACGAAGCCCAAGGCCACCAGCTTTATACCCGCCTCGAAACAGAAGATCCCGATGAAGTACGGCTCGGACTTTTCCTGTAGAAGCAAAAACATTTAGATATTTAGCATAATTAACCCTAATAGAAAAAACAAGGTCTTACGAGTCTTTTTGCCATGGGCGTCTTGTCTTCTCCTGGGAGATGCTGCTCCAAGGCCAGGACCACACAGTTGGCAGTGATGGTGGCCAAAATCATGTACTCAAACGGAGTGGAGGCACAGAGTTAAGGAATGATCACAGATATCAAACATGAAGCGTGTGGGCAAATTTGGCAGTTTTTAAACATGGTATTGCTTTCACTTTCAGCCAAAACAGAAATGAATATCAGTGGCTCTTTTTATTTCAGAAATAACGAAGACTTCTTAATAAAATTCATGAATACAAATAGTTATGACTTTTTGTTTAATGTTATCCTTTCTACTTTTCTTGTCCAATGTTACATGACCATGCTTCTAATTTCATTAATACCTGTTCAAAGTGGTTAGCCGTGCTTTTAAATTCATTGAGACAGGTTTGAAGAGGTTAGCCATGATGTATTAGTATGGTCAGCACTAGATCATATACGGAAGCGGGACGGAAGCGGAAGTAAAAATAACAAACTTCCTATTCATGCCTAAACTTAACCAGCCATTCCCATAAAATAACCCCAACCCAGCCTTAACCCTAAACCTAACCATCTTACTTAAACACCTAAAACTTAACCAGTCACCATTTAAGGACGAATTAGTCTAAAATTAATTTGAAAGTTGGATTGTTACTTCCGGTTTCGTCACGATTCCGTATATAATCTAGTGCCGACCGTATTAGTATGACAGAAAAAGGATTTTCTACTTCCGGGTGGATCCTCCTAATTGTCAATCATTCTGGTCCTTAATTCATGCTCATCAAAAAGTGGAGAGTGCGGTTCTTTCTATAATTTGGGAAAATCCTCCTATTTACCTATTTACACATAAATGCAGAAACACGAAAATAACAATAAAAGACACAATCCATGGGACGTTATAAGTCAGAGAACAAAAGTGGGTCTTACGATGAGACTTAAAACAGATTAGCCAGGCTTCTAAATTCAGTAGCTGTATTTACTTTGCGACAGGTTTTATTGGCATATTCTTTACGTGTATCAAGACTTCTACTGTGGTAAAATGGGACTATTTTGATAACCATTTTTTTATATTTAGCTAAATTTAGATTTTTACCGACCTGTGAGTAAAAACGCATAGCATGTACTCATGAAATCATTGGATAGCCTATGACAGATGCATTGCTCACTGTTGGCAGCAGTCTATTAGAAAGAGAGTTGTATCCATGGCAACCCGCTTTTAAAAGTCCTTTTCATGAAGAGAGTGAAAAAAGGGAGAAAGTTCAGTGGGAGACAGAGTGCTTCAAACTCGCCTTCACCTGAAATAATCATATCAATCAACATCATCAGCTGCTGCCACCATTACCCATGAATCAGATGTGTCCAAACTATGCCCACGACTATTGTGACCCTGCAAAAGCATTTGTTATTGGTCCTCAGAACCTCAAGCCCTCAAGGTTGCTGCAAACAGTGAAGAGAAATATATTGTTTTCTTTTTACTACTTAATCTGACGTCAATAATCTATAATTGATTTTCTTGCATCTTCTTTCAATTCATCTGATTTAAATAACATTGTCGTTTTTTTATGTTCCCGATTTGTCCACCACTTGGTCTGTTTTGGTGGATGTGGACCATGATCTAAGTCTGAACACTCCAGCTGCAAATTAAATGAATGTTAAAACTATTTTTTTTTCAGTTATAATATACAGAACTTGATGAAAGCCGCACATATAGAGATCTACAGTGACCCTGAAAAAATGGAGCTATAGTAAAGAATGGAAGTAACAGCTGTGGTCAGTATACCACCTCTTGACATCTACCCTCCCTCCTCCCTTTACTTCACAATCTGCGTTTAACAGTTGCATTGCTGCGCCTTCAGCTCGTGCAGCAACCTGCCTCCTCCCCATCAACAGTGGGATATCACTCGTCACCTCATCGCCTCATCACTTCAGCTTCCACCAACATCAGAGTTTAGACCCCAGGGGATAATTCACTTTTTCACTTTAATTTTCCTTCCTTCCGACGCAATACTATTTGTCTGCTGAGGTCTAAGTGCAAAAACCATAGCCACATTTAGCCACCATAGCCACTCAAGTCAAAAAGTCATAATTTGATACTGCCCAATCATGCAGTAACGGATATACTAATCATCTTCTCCAGAATAAATACTGAAGCACAATAAAACTTGAAGCACATACAAACTAAGATTGTCCGAAAAATCAGTTTGTGTGTCTTGATTTTCAACGTGTACAGTAAGTATTAGTATTAAGTATAGACTGTTTTCTCAACCTGCCACATCACTGATGTCACTTTTACTATCCTGCCAACTAAGTAATAATTAGGGAGGGAAAGCATGAAAACCTGTCATATGCATTTTAAGTTTTGACAGAAGACCCAAATAAACAAGGTTGATTGTGTCTGTAATGAAGCTGACTGTGTTAAAACACATCCAGCACACTGCCTTTCAACAGTTAATTCTAAACACACACTCTGAATGGTCAGTCTGTGAATCACAGCATTTGAGTTCATTACAACTCCATGGGAAACAATTATTAAAGAACACATAATTTGTTATAGTTAGTTCAAAATGACAATAAAATAATAGAATAATAAAACCTTTTCTTCTATTTTTTTTTTTTTTTTTTTTTACAATAATGATTAAAAAAAGAACAATTCTTAAACTACTCAGAAAAAGTATTATTCTGTATAATACAAACTTTGAAATTGTATCTAGATTTTTGGTCAGGAAATTAGATATCGCTCAACCCTATTCACAATCTTGACTCCTTTATAGAGTCAAAATTGTGGCAACTTGACAGTTAAACCTGTACTTTTTTTTAACCTGTGGCTTAATAAAAAAAGCTAATGTTATGCTAACCGTTTTGTTTAGCATTATTAACTTTGCTAAGCTAACAACAACAACAAAGTATAGAACAGAGAAGTGTTGTTGATGTGGTAGTTCTGCAGACAACCCGTCATTTTGCATTTTAAAAAACCCCTAAACAGCCCCTAGCCTATTCTTCATATGTGTGGTCTAATGAAGATCACATACATCCCAGCCTACAGCCTCCAGCCTACAGTCCCAGACGCTCGGTGCTACTCCTGAGTCGCCATTATTAGCGATGCTAAGAGTGAAAGGAGGTCAGCAAGCACAGGGAGCCACCCTGACACATGCAACACACCTCAAAACAGCTCAAAAAGCTGAAGCTTAACCACCAACTTTCTGTATTAGAGTCACCAGCTCAAGCAAAGCATATAAACCCAACACAACCGGCTGGTGGTGTGGAGCTACATGAACAAGTCCTATACAGCCCCGACTAAGGATGTTATTGTAAGAGAAATTTCTACAGTTTAACAATGATTAAATGTTAACTTGTATGGTAAATTATATTGTAATTTGTGCTTGATAAATACTGTGTAAAGTATTCAGCCCCCCTGAATACTCAAGTCTCCGTATAAATGCACCTGCTCTTTGATAGTCTCAGGGTTCTGTTTAAAGCGCAGAGAGAACCATGAAGACAAAGGAACACACCAGGCAGGTCCGAGATACTGTTGTGGAGAAGTATAGAGCCTGGATACAAAAAGATTTCCCAAGCTTTAAACATCTCAAGGAGCACTGTGCAAGCAATTATATTGAAATGGAAGGAGTCTCAGACCACTGCAAATCTACCAAGACCCGGCCGTCCCTCCAAACTTTCATCTCAAACAAGGAGAAGACTAATCAGAGATGCAGTCAAGAGGCCCATGATCACTCTGGATAACCTACAGATAACTACAGCTGAGGTGGGAGAGTCTGTCCATAGGACAACAATCAGTCGTGCACTGCACAAATCTGGCCTTTATGGAAGAGTGGCAAGATATCCATAAAAAGTCTCGTTTAGTCTCGTCATGTGGAAGAAGGTGCTCTGGTCAGATGAAACCAAAATCGAACTTTTTGGCCACAATGCAAAACGATATGTTTGGCGTAAAAGCAACACAGCTCATCATCCTGAACACACCATCCCCACTGTCAAACATGGTGGTGGCAGCATCATGCTTTGGGCCTGCTTTTCTTCAGCAGGGACAGGGAAGATGGCTAAACTTGATGGGAAGATGGATGGAGCCAAATACAGGACCATTCTGGAAGAAAACCTGTTGGAGTCTGCAAAAGACCTGAGACTGGGACGGAGATTTATCTTCCAACAGGACAATGATCCAAAACATAAAGCCAAATCTACAATGGAATGGTTCACAAATAGACGTATCCAGGTGTTAGAAAGGCCAAGTCAAAGTCCAGACCTGAATCCAATCGAGAATCTGTGGAAAGAGCTGAAGACTGCTGTTCACAAACGCTCTCCATCCAACCTCACTGAGCTCGAGCTGTTTTGCAAGGAAGAATGGGCAAGAATTCCAGTATCTCGATGTGCAAAACTGATAGAGACATACCCCAAGCGACTTGCAGCTGTAATTGCAGCAAAAGGTGGCGCTACAAAGTATTAGCGCAAGGGGGCCGAATAATATTGCACGCCCCACTTTTCAGTTTTTTATTTGTTAAAAAAGTTTAAATTATCCAATAAATTTCGTTCCACTTCACGATTGTGTCCCACTTGTTGTTGATTCTTGACAAAAAAAAATATTTTTTATATCTTTATGTTTGAAGCCTGAAATGTGAAATGTGCGAAATGTTGAAAGGTTCAAGGGGGCCGAATACTTTTACAAGGCACTGTATATGGTCATGTATCCATCTACTTTTATTTGACTGTTTTACAACAACCCGCTCAGGGACTACAGGTGTAAATTAGTTCTGCTGCTACAACCTGGGATTTGTATCTCTCCTCTTGTTTATTGTACACTGTCCCTGTAAAAATAAAAATAATACTATACCATGATTCACATTTATGAGACTCAGTGTTACAAGGGTATTTATATGTAGTCCAAAAAGGGCATTGTAAAAATCTTGATTCGCCAAAATCAGATTAAAGAATGAAACAGTTCAGTATTAACACAAAATGCCCTGGCCTTATGTCGCTTTCATGATGTGTTTGATGTGTTTGGTAGATCGGGAGGAGGGAGCTGGCTCTCCTAAATGATGGAAAGCTCAATCAGCAGGAAATTAAACTATATTTTATGTAGAAATGTTATCGCAACTAAAATAAACTCATTCATTTCAGATTTTCTAAGAGGTTATTATTTTCATCTTCTGAGACTTCACTCTTGACTGTGATTGAGGAGTGGGCCTTTGAATATGTTATTTTTGCATTTTGGCATCAAAATGGAGCTATAAAGGAAAAATAAGTTGTTTTTGTCAACTACAATGTTGCGAGCTCTGCCCACTTCACACTCAAAGGTATTAGGAGGAATAAATCTATTAGAGAGTTAACATTGGTTTGGCTGAACATTTTATCAGGTACTTCAGGAGTATTTCCACTTAATTTACACCAGGGCTGTAATAGACCATTACAGCTTCAGTGTTCACTACTTATTTGTTAGTCTGAGCAATTATTTCTTCAGATTGTGAAGTGCACCTGACTATGAGGTAACAATAAAACAATTCAGTTTGAGAATTTCTGTATTTATTTTTGTTTTCAGTTCTGGGCTTCAGAGTCTGTGTACAAATAACAGAAACAATGAGTCATCAAAATGACTCAATATTCCAATCCCATACTCCAGACCAGTTGTTCTCAAAGTAAGATGAAGGGAAGCGGGAAGCAACTCCATGAGGGAAACTGGAAGCAGGTGATGATTTCAAGGTCTTCTGATCTTTTCACTATATTGAATGGCCAGATGAACAACACTATAGATTTGCCGTGTTTCTCCGTATGGCACTGGCTGTAAATTTGTTTGACAAACTATCTGTTACTGTGAATTAAAGCTAATCCAGGCCCTTTTTAATAATTCATTTATTTCTGTATGTATTTCTGTATCTATTTGTTTGTTTGTGTATTTATATATTTATGTATTATTATGTTCCATTTACTTTTCTTGTTTGGCACAATCGGTGAAAAAAAGAAAATTAGCTTTGATCATGTTGAGATGTACAGTGCAAAGACATTATGCATTAAGTATAAAAAAGAAAAAAAGAAATCTTCTGCTATAGTCATGCCCTTTTATCAATGTTTCAAAACTATTCTTCAAACAAACGCATCTCTCTTCAGTCTGGACACGGGTCTGGCTGAGTCAAAAGCCTAACATGTGTTGCTTCTCCCAGCCCACAAGCCGTGGCGATGCGATAGGCCAACTCTCTCTCCCCCACACGCTAAGTTCGCTGTCAGTGGCCAGTCTTGACCACTAGGCCCTACACGCCCACGCAACTACGGAGCCCGATTGGTTAGGTAACACTGAAGAGACTAGCGCGCTGCTCTGGTGGGGGTGTAAGACGGGAGCTGCGGATCGACTGGCAACTTACTGACTGCTAATGCTGCTGCGCCTGAAATTCTCACTCAAGAAACCTGTTTTGGACTCGCACAGACCTGGAGAATGATAGAGCTAAGAGTAGTAAAAGGAGTTTAGAGATGACATGTTATTGTAAGGAAGTGTTAAGATGCTGAGAATCGCCACTATGAGGATGTGAACATTTTGAAAATTAGATTTACTTTTCTGATGGTGTACACTACCCACTGGTTGGCATGGAGATGTTATTGCTTTTCTGATTTGATGTGTATTTTCTTATTTGTGTTGTTTTCTGTTTTTGTGTGTAGTTTTTTTCAGTACTTATTTTTGTACAGCACTTAGGTTTCTTTCATGTTCCAGAATTCTATTTAAGTTGTTGCAGAAGTCGATACTGCTTAAAAAGATGAATTCTTACATTAGGTTGTAACTTGTAAGCCCATGTACAATCACTTATAGTTAATGTGTAGAGGAGATGTGAATATCAAAAATGTTATTGAGAAAACAAGTGATACACAGTAGGGAAATCTAAGATCACTTTTGATCATAACTAGAGCAAAATTTGGGAATTCGAGGAGTTCCAATAATGGAATGATATTCTACAAAAGAGCATTTTGTTTATCAAATATGGTGCTGAAATGGAGCATTGAAACCAATCCTTAATTCTTAGCCTCGAACTTGATTTTAAAATGTTGGTATCGTGACTACAATGGAAATATTACAATTGTCTTGCTAAAAAGTTAAGACAATATCCTCAATTCCAAATCCTCATTGAAGTTTCATATAATAATGTTGCGAACATACCTTACACATTCAACTAGATGTTGAGGTCATTACTCACCAAATCAGCTATAGAGCCCCAAACAAATGTTACATTTTTTACAATACCTGACTACTTTTTCCTGCATTTCTTCGAACCCTGTGGCTAATGTAGGGATGCAGCAGTATGCATTTTTTTACTGTGGGAGTTAAAGCAGAGTTTATGGACTTTTCATTTTGACAAGTTTTAGTCGCCATAGGACACTTGTTGTTAGTAAGCAATTCATTTTTATTTATATTGCACATTTTAAAGACCAAGGTCACCCAAAGCACTAAACAATGTTCGGAGTTCAGATATTGCTGTTATCACTCCACACCCGGTGATGACGTAAGCGAGACGCCAACACACTGGCGTATCAAAGCCTCTGACCAACACCCTCCATTCACTCACTCATAAAATGTATACCCGGATATCACGCAAACTCCACTCAGAAAAGTTCAGGATTTGAACCCAGGACCTTCTTGCTGAGAAGTGAGAGTGCTAACCACTGAGCCACCATGCCACCGTATTATCAAAATTAATTTGAGGCATGGAAGCTGAGAGTTAAGGTAAGCAATCCATAGTTTATTTACCAAGCTTTGTCCATCACAGTCAACAGTGTGTTAAAACAACCCATCATTAAATGTTGTTGTGAACAGTCGTGGCTTTGTTTTCACTCTATCGGCTGTTGGTTAGCATTTGAAAACCTGAAAACCTGCAGCCTACATTTACCACAAAATTTGAATTATTGTCAAATGTAACTGATGTGGTTTGTATAGCGGTGCTCTTAATAGTCCAGCAAGTACTGTATTGTTTTTTTGTAATCCTTATGTGAATTTTGAATGAGAAATTTTACTTTACCACCCACTTTGCAGCTCAATAAACTCTTATTGCCAAGAGGCTTGCTTCTTTGTCTGTGGTTGTATTTTTTCTATGTACTTACATAAAATATCTGCATGTTTGATATGGCTATGCTGCAGTGTATGAGTATTTGTGCAATAATAATTATGATCATTTAAAAAAACTTTCCCAGGACCTCTCCAAAGCCCTACAGATAAAACTACGGGCCCACAGTACATCATTTGGACTTTGTTAGATGTGTGGAAGTTGATGAGAGAGGAAGTGGCGGGGAGTGCGTGCGGCTGGATTTGAACTGACACCTACACAGGGCAGGTTCATATTCCAATGAGCACTAAGGCAGCAAAGATGTGCCCACATGCCTCCCCCACAGTGAGAAGAGCTGCTTCCAACCACCACCACATGCTAGCTCTACGCTCTCCTGCCAAAGCCCAGGCACCCATACAGCAGGCTCCAACGCAAAGAGAGGTCGAAACCTTAAAAGCCTGGTCATGAATCAGATTTGTACAAACCTGCATGCCGTTAAAACTGCCGTAGTACAGACTGTTCGGATCATACTGAGAGCTAGGTGCTGGATGGGCAAGAATTCAATGTTTTGAATGTGTATGGATGGGGTTAAAAGACCTTGAACACACTTCTAGAGGACTGATAGACTCACAAAAATGCAGAAAGTAATTATTCAATATATTCAAACAATCAATCAATCAATTATAATGATCCAGGAAGTTTGAAAATGAAACAGTCCATTATCCATGTCATAGAATGTTGATCAATTTTTCTTTCATAATCTGTTTCTATCAACAACAACAAAAACCTGGAAGCAGTCCAATGTGAAATGTGATTCCAAAAACTAAAGCCAACCAGAATCTGATTAATATGAATACATTAATAGTTCTGTCCATGACCCTGAAGAATAGCATTGCCTCTCTGAAGCACCTGTGATTGATTGATTGAAGGAGGGTGATCATTTCCTTATAATCTTACCTTCTGGTACTATGAGCAGATGTGTGTGCATCTGTGAGAGGGCTATGAGCTTCCAGAAAACACAAGTTACTTTCTGATAGCACCATGGACAAAATACAAAACTGTACAACACCAAAGCAGACTGGAAACATAGTCACGTGACTATTTACCCAATTCTCAACTACAAAAAGTCAAAATGTAGATTAGAATGTTTCCTCTTCAGTCTGGTACATAATAAAAGGCAACAGGTTTGTTTGAGGGCTACTTTTCTAGAGGCTGCAGAAGGCGCTGTCCACGGTGCTGAACAGATCAAATGGATTTTAAACACTTATTTGACATATTGTAACCTGTGTGGGGTGCGTCTTGAGCACGAACACATTCACATGAATTCACATTGTACAAACTTTATGCAAAAGTACTTATCACAGTGGAAGGATATGGCCACTCGATGATCCGCCGCGCGAATCTCCGTATGAGGTTGTCCTCAGCGAAGATGAATAGCGCCCTGTTGACGGTCAGGCAGTTCTGTCGGTGGGGCACGGGGTTGTACAGAGCCATGGTCCGGGCCCGCTGCGCCTTGGCTTGTTTCATGGACGCGGTGAGTCCAGCAGCAACCGCGGCTGCGTCCTGACCATCCCCGCGCTCCACGTCTCCATCCCCGGAGTCCACGGTACTAGGAGCCGATTCGTCTCCGAAACGAGCCATTCTACAAATAAAATAAAAAACGCGTACAAGAGTGACTAAAACAACGACTTAGTTCCCGCCAAAAAAGTGGCTATCTCTCATTACATTCTTAGTTGACTCTGTGTTAAAGTCACCCATAGACAGGGACGCGCTTGTGCCCAGGGTTATCCCATATATGACGCGCTCAACACGAACTAACTTTTACGCCTTGATCCAGGTCGCGTGTCCAGAATATCAGCGAAAGCAGTTTTCTGTGAATTCTTTGCCATCAGTAACTCGCAAAGACAACATATTCCCCGCTAAAAGTGTTGCCAAAAGTTTATGCATCGCCCCTATGTCTTAGAGAAGGAAGGAAGCGCAGGAATTTGGAAGTTTCCCTAACGGAGCGGCAGAGAGGCGGCGTATAGTCTCTAGATCGCGTTTATCACTTGGTGGATTTTATCAGCAGCAGTATGGCAGGCAGCATTTGCACAGTTAGCCCCCTCCCACAGAGTTGCATGATGGCGATTTCCAAATTGATCTGAATGAAGAGTGGAAGACAGAGATGGAGGAGGGACCGTGTATGTGCAGGTTTCCATGGTGATCACAGTTTGCTTATGGCGGTGAAAGAGAAAGGAGAGAACACATCCCCTTGTGCTAAAAAAGCTTCAAGGTAGCGTGGGTTAGCGCGGTTTAAAGGCATTATGTAAAGATGCTTGTGGGTGCAAACGCCAAAGCGCGCGATGGATAGAAACGTAACATAAACAAGAGCGGCAACAAGTGCAGACCGATGCGTGAAAGTGCGCGCTATTTCCCATATACGTCTCTCAAGTCATCGGAAAAGTCAGATAAGATTAGATCCGACAAAATGTGGGCCATAGAGCTAATATTGGAGTAAAGTCTGGTGTAAAAATAGCGCGTGAAATAGATTTTAGGGCTGCTCCCTTTTTGAGGCAGAGAGACAGTGTGTGTGTGTGCGTGTGTGTAGGGGGGGGGGCTCTCTCGTCCCATCTGCTCTGCTCTTCTCTCCCCCACTGGTTCCTGAAGATGACCATCACACACTCTCACACACTATCACACATAACATACCAGGCCATTGGTGGAGACTGGTGTGACATACTGACCTGGTTATGCACAAGAGGCCATATTTGGTCAGTAAGTGGTTGATAGAATGTGAGAAGGGATGAGCAACAGATGTGGGATGTAGTGTTCTGTTCAAAGTTAGTTAGAGTCACTGGGTTGTTCATAGATGCCAAAGCAATATGACTGGACTGTTAGGAATATAATTGGACCGTGATTTATGCCGGACACGTCTTGTAATCAGCGAATTACAGATTTTATTATGACGTTATTGACGCAAGAACTGACTGATGTAGTCGGATGTACTCATTTCAGGTGACCAGCAGCAAAATCACAACTAGTGATTGAATTAATAATAATAATAATGCAATGGTTTCATATAGCGCTTTTTTGGACACTCAAAGACGCCTCACATGTCATTATTCTTTCACTCCATACGGCGGTGATAAACTACAACTGTAGCCACAGCTGCCCTGGGACACACTGACAGAAGCGAGGAAATCAGTATGTACCACCGGCCCCTCCGACCACCACCAACCATTCACACACACACCAGACTCATTATAGGCAATGTGGGTAAAGTGTCTTGCTTAAGGACACAACAGCAGCAGACAGTGGGAGTCGATGGTGAAAGTCTTAAGGTGCGCTTGAACCCTCGACCTACTGGCCCAAAGGCAAATGCTCTACCAACTGAGCTACTGTCGCCCAAGTCATTCTAAAAGTTACTGCAGGTATAAGTGAGTTTAATAACTTGACTTGTATTAAATTATTTGGGCTACCAGGACAACTTTGTTCCAAAAAAAAAAAAAAAATACATCACATTGTTCAGTTTACTCTAAAGATTAAACCCAGAATTCAATTAACAATAATAATTCAATCACTCTGCAATAACAAGTCTTCATTACTTTTACTACTCACTTTTAGTCTAGTTTTAGTTCAGTCCAAGCATGTACACAATTAAGAAAGAACATTTAGATAAAATAACTTATGAAAATAATCAATGCAAACTTTCAAAAAGAAAACAACTGAGAAGACAATATATAATCTCTGTATAATCCTAAAGTTCTTTTTTGAAAATGGCCCTCTGACCCATCATCTGGCACGAGGAGGAGTAGCTACAGTATGTTTCATAGGCTAATCGAGATCTAAATAAACACAAATATATAAAAATACAGAGGATACTCATGCTCTGTCTACACTGGTGACTACAGGGTTTTTTGTAACCTCTGTGATAGTGTAGTGGAATGTTAAAGGCATTATCTTCTTTGTCCTCAGCTTCTTGGAATCAGCTGTTTATGGCATCAAGGCAAACTAATAATAGATATAGACATACGTATGCTTGAATGAAGGTCTAAGGATGATGTGAAATGTTTACTCAGTTTTGTGTTATTTTGTGTTATACATGCTTTTTATACCAGGAAGACTAGAGCAACCACTTGTGGAAACTAATAGGGATCAAAATAAATACAAATAAATAAATACATGTTCTTTGTGAATACCTAAGGCTCACAGAAATACATCCAGCCGTCTGAAAATAACAAAAGCATATCGTCTTCTCCAGTGCAGCTTTACATGTGTCAGTCGCAAGAATCACTTTAGGTGTGTCTTGACATAAAAATGAGCCACTCTGGTCCGTGCGTCAAACTTGCAGGTAAAGCTTTATATGTAGATGGGCTGGGCACCGAGCTTCACCGACGATGGGGGATTGAGAAGCAAGCAGCCAAGAGAGTGGCAAATTTATGCTTGGCAAACAAGTCGAGATCTGGGGGTTGGAGAAAAAAAAAAGATTTAACAGGATCTATGAATAAGCCCTTAACTAAGCTCCCAAAACTGCTGCTTTCTCCTAATCTGCGTGGGGTGGCACCTCATGCAAAACAGGCCGGCAACTGGAGCCTGCACAATGGCCTGCCAAGTGGTGAATTTCAAACCAGCATATAATTAACACATTTAACCACTGCCTCTCATAAATGCAAGTATAGTCATTACTCCTGAACAACAAACTCAAATATTTATCATATTATTTTCACAAACAGTCCATCTTACCAGTGAGCTGTTTCTTGCTGGCTTGGTTGTTGTTTCCATAGCGACATAGCTCTCTCTCTTCCATTCCTACTTCTTTTCAATCTGCCAACAAAAGCCATGTTGCACAATAGTAGCAACGATCGTCTTCCTACTGAAATTAACTCCATCCCACTCTTTGATCCTTCGCAGGCAAAGGGCCACATGTCGGACAACGCGGGGCCTGAATGTAATCCAACCCCACGCTGAGAAATGACCAAGTGCATTTTTCTGCTTGTTGCCCAAGGGGTGCTATGGAGAGTAGCTTTGGAAATTGGACTCAAATAGCGACAAAACGTAATTGCAGTGAGCTAGCGGACTATGGCTTAGCTTAGTGAATGTCTTACTGTGGTTAAGTGAGAAGTCTAAGGGCTGGCCACCTACTTGTCTTTTATGACTTGCATTATTTTATTGTAAATTTTCACGACATGGCATTGAAATTAATTTGTATTTTCTCAATTACAGGTTGAGCTGGGATGATAAGATAAGACAAGATATCCCTCTATTCGTCCCACAGTGGGGAAATTTCAGTGTCATGGTTGCGCACATTACAGCAGAGAAAGAAGGAAATGAGAGCACCCAGATTGCACAAATCTAACAGAGTCTATTTCTGAGTGGAGTTTGTTGTTCTCCCCGTGTCTGCGTAGGTTTCCACCAGGTGCTCCGGTTTCTCCTACCACTAAAAACATGTACAATAGGTCTGGCATGTGCCTCCTGTACTGGCGACCTCGCTCCCATATCTGTGTGGAGTGAGAGAGAAATGCCCACAATAAAGATTACTTACTTACTTACTTACTTACTTCATATTTAAGATAATAGACATTAGAAATATGGTGGCAAAATGGAATAGAATTAAATAAAATAAACTCTGGTGCTATAATTGCACTTGGTTCAGAAGTATTTACAGATGTATATAATTTGTACTTAAGCAGCGGAGAAAATGAGCAGAAAAAAATCAGTTTCTGCAAATCTGAGGCCATAGTTTTTGAGGAGAGGAAGACCAGAGGTTGATTTGCTCTGTTCAAAAAGCTGTAGAAGGAGCATCAGAAAAGTCTACATACGTCTACATTCCCACCTTCAACTAGTATATGGCCAAATGCTTTGAGTAATAGATGCAATATTTGTGGCTGAGCTCTCCCTTAGAGCTAGGGTGCGTCACAGTGGAGGAACTCGTTGTAGAGAAGCTGCTCCTCCATGTCAAAAGGAGCCAGCGGAGGTGCCTCAAGCCTCTCTTTTGGATACTTCCTAGATGCTTTCCTGGTCTGTCCCAACGGTAGGACTTTCCAGAAAGACAAAGAACAAGCTATATCTGATTGAGCTGGTGGAAGTGTGCATGATGTGAGAAGCCTCCTAGAATTCGAACCCACGATTTGGGAATGTATTGGTGGTTTTCTGATTCTAGAATAGGATGCAAATATGTAATGCAATAATAATTTAATTTCAGCTTCATAAGACGTATCTAAAAGGTTGAAACACACTTGTATTAATCTGATTATGTTTGTTGCTTATTGAACCCCAAAACGAATGAAATCTATTTCAATCTGTCCCCAGTCTGTGTTAAAATGTAATATTTTGATTCGTTTTTGCAGCCCTTTACTGTATGGGTCTGCTGTTCCCGTCTGCATTACATTTACATTAGTGGTTAAGATGACACAGAGTTAATGGGGATACTTCGTTGTGCCTGAGCAGAACTCTGAAGGGCATTTATATAATTGTGCACTTTTTTCACTCAGCATCTACAGGAGTGGTTTAGCATTTATTTTTCTCTCTGTTCCCTAGCAACACACATCTAGTACCAAGTTATGTCCATTTAATTTGACCAAAACTGCAGCTTGTGTCACGTTGCGCATAGAAATGACAGCAGGATTACTTATGTTTAATGTGCAGACTGCTTAAAGGTCGAC